GGGCTCGATCCCAGGACCCCGGGATCATGACCCCAGCAGAAGGCAGACGCCTAACGACTGAGCCACCCAGGCGCCCCTATATTTTTATCATTATACTTTTTTTGAGAGAGAGCACGCCCACGCAAGCCTGTGTGCACGAGTGGGGCGGGTAGGGTGGAGACATTGGGAAAGGGAGAGAATCTTTTTTTTTTTTTTAAGATTTTATTTATTTATTTGACACACAGAGAACACTAGCAGGGGGAGCAGGAGAAGGGGAGGGAGAAACAGGCTCCCCGCGGAGCAGGGAGCCCGATGCGGGGCTCGATTCCAGGACCCTGGGATCATGACCTGAGCCACCCAGGCATCCCTAGGGAGAGAGAGAATCTTAAGCAGGCTCCACGACTTAGTGGGAGCCTTTCGCAGGGCTTGATCTCACAACCCTGAGATCACCTGAGTGAAATCAAGAGTCAGACTCTAACCAACTGAGCCACCCAGGCATCCCCATTATACTTTTAGTTACTTTCCATATTCTATACTTCCTACACAAAGTAATTAGCCTCTGATTACTCCTTTAACAGAAATTTTCTATCTTCCATCTTATTCCCCAAAGTTAAATGACTTTAGGTAAATGACAAAAATAAAAATCTATGTACATTCAAAATCATATTAACCAAGGGAAATCTATATAGATAGCATCCTCCCCCCCAAAAAAAACCCACCTTTTTTTTTTTAACTTTTTTTTTTTTTTAAGATTTTACTTACTTATTTGACAGAGAGAGACAGAGCCAGAGAGGGAACACAAGCAGGAGGAGTGGGAGAGGGAGAAGCAGGCTTCCGGCTGAGCAGGGAGCCCAATGCAGGGCTCATCGCAGGACCCTTGGATCATGACCCTGAGGCGAAGGCAGATGCTTAAGGACTGAGCCACCCAGGCGCCCCCCCCACCTTTTTTTCAGTCTACAAACCACATGCTAAAGATCTACAAGACAGACTGCTGTGCTCCTCACCTCTAACATCCATACTTCACTTCTCATACCTGACCACCTTATTCCCAAGATATCCAAAGGCACCTCTACTGTACAATCTCTAAGGTCTGCTTCTCTGTCCATTCTACTTACAATTACAACAAACTGGTCCTTTTAGGACAATGCTTCCCTAGTTGTGGTGCGTAACAAGGAAAAAGTCAAAAGAGAAAACAGGATCAACAAGATTGTACTATTTCAAAAGCTCTGCTTTATAAAAACAGCTAAATTCCTCAGGGATGTCATTATATATTTAGATGATACAGGTTTTTTGTTTTTGTTTTGTTTAAAGAAAGAGCACAACTTTGTGCATAGTTCTAAAATCAGTGTAATAGTTAAGATCTCTGGCACACTATATACTAGAGATCTAATTCCAAATCATTTCATCACCATCACTGCCACCCTTAAAATTTAAAACATGTACGACTGTTACCTAAGTATTTGAGTAATGCTTTTTATAACTAGGGTATTTATATAGGGCAAATATAAGATCAGTAGGGAGATGGTCCAGTGCAGTGAATGAGCATTCAAGTTCTGTGGAATCTCAACTCCATTATCCATCTCTCTGGTGTCCCTAGTTATTGGAACCAGTCTATATACTCTGTATTTAATCAGCCTTTTGGAATAATTTTACTATCTTACAGTAATTATGAATCGTATCTTGATTTTTCAGATTGTTCATAATAACCTTACATCAATCCATCGCTCTCACACAATCCACACACATACCCTCCATATCATACATGTATATATACATATATAATTAATTTTATTTATCTGTTGCTATACTATTGGTCAGAAATACAACCCCATTTTGGGGCGCCTGGGTGGCTCAGTCATTAAGCGTCTGCCTTTGCCTCAGGTCACGATCTCAGGGTCCTGGGATCAAGCCCCAAATCCGGGCTCTCTGCTCGACAGGAAACCTGCTTCTCCCTCTCCCACTCCCCCTGCTTGTGTTCCTGCTCTCGCTATCTCTCTGTCAAATAAATAAATAAAATCTTAAAAAAAGAAAAAAAAATACAACCCCATTTTAAGAGTGCTCCCTAAAACAGGACAGCTCTACAATGCAGGTACGTACACACAATGAAACAAGAAGCAGATATTGCTTTTCATAAATAATTTTATTCTTTCCTTGCTGAAACTGTTCCTAGAACATTTGACCTTAATGCCTATGAAATAAGTTTCTTAAGACATACTTCTCCTAGTCCTCTTGATCTTATAAATATATGCTACATTTCTTAATTTAGGTCAAAGTTACTTCCATTTGTCAAATCACTAATTTTCTGATCTCATTCTGAAATATTAAAAATTTACTTTTATCTATTCCCTCTAATTTTACTTCTAACGATAGTCCTTCCTGGGCGCCTGGGTGGCTCAGTTGGTTAAGCGACTGCCTTCCGCTCAGGTCATGATCCTGGAGTCCCAGAATTGAGTCCCGCATGGGGCTCCCTGCTCAGCAGGGAGTCTGCTTCTCCCTCTGACCCTCCCCCCTCTCATGTGCTCTCTCTCTCTCAAATAAATAAAATCTTTTTTTTTAAAGATTTTATTTATTTATTTGACAGAGAGAGACACAGCGAGAGAGGGGACACAAGCAGGGGGAGTGGGAGAGGGAGAAGCAGGCTTCCCGCGGAGCAGGGAGCCCGATGCGGGGCTCGATCCCAGGACCCTGCAATCATGACCTGAGCCGAAGGCAGACGCTTAATGACTGAGCCACCCAGGCGCCCCTCAAATAAATAAAATCTTTAAAAAATAAATAAATGAATAAATAGTCCTTCCAGAAATGGAAATCGTTTGAATACAGAGACTTAGTTTAATTCCTCACTTTATAGATGATAAACCAAACCAAAGTGAGTAGAATGTTTTTTTACATTTTGGCTACTAGGGAAAAAAAGTTTTACCACCACTCTCCTTCTAAAATTCATTTTTACTAAGATTGAGGCCTTACATTTGCCAAAACCAAATAATAATACCAAGCCAGTAATATACTGATCCCTTTAAGAACTCACACAGTACTCTACTTAATAAACTAGCCTTTCCATCTTTTAGATACTATTTTTCACATAGCTAGCTAGGCATGAAATGCTTATTATGAATGAACAAATACGTTAATTAAAGGAAAATCTAGGGGTGCCTGGGTGGCTCAGTTGGTTAAACATCTGCCTTCAGCCTGGGATTGAGCCACAAGTCAGACTCCCTGCTCAGCAGGGGGCCTGCTTCTCCCTCCCACTGTGCCACTCCCCCTGCCTGCGCTCTTCAGCTCTGTCAAATAAACAAAATCTTTAAAAAAAAAAAAAAAGGGAAAATCAAAACAGCAGATGCAAATTTTTCCTACTTGTCACAATTTCCTAATGATTAGACTAGTTTATCCAAAGAGATCATAATTCAAAAGTACTCTTAAGATTCTAGAGACTTAATGAACATAATTAGGGTTGTGGTCTGCTTACCTATAATTAAAATTTGCCACCTTTTTAATAAAAAGTCTTGAGGTATTAATCAAGAAGAAAGTGTAACAGCCTTCTATGAAGCAGCAATTTCCTCACCACCAAAAAAATTATTTCTAGAGTTTATCTTTCAGAAGGAAACTATCAGCACAGTCACAATTATGAAGAGAGACTGTTAAGTGAAAACACTCAATAAATAAAATGTGCTTTTATTTATTCACTAACTTTTTCACATTTCCAACTAAAACAGAAATACAAGCTTAAGACTCATCAATCCCCTATCACATCAAATTTACAAAACAAATGCACAAGGTTTACAAAAATGCATAAGATTGAATAAACAGCAGGATCCAAATGTGGGGAAATAAATTAAAAAGACTGGATGATAACAAAACATTAACAGATATAGCTGAGGGGTGAAATACGTGATTTCTTATTTTCTTCTTTATACGCTCCTATAATCTTCCAAATTCTCCCACAGTTTACATTTATTACTTTCATAATCAGGAAAAAAAACCTCATTTAAAAAATAAACCGTATATCATATAAAAAAAGGTTCATTTAGAAGGGTTCTCCATATTATACAAGTATTACTGACATGGTTCACGATTAAAGATAATGTCGCCACACTTTCTCACTTTCCAACACTAACATGCCGTTTTATGTCCTATTACTTTTTTGCTGCGTCTCCTAATGTTTCATTTCTACATACATAAAATCTTTTCATTTTTTCATACAACACAATAAAAGTCTCACTGATTACTTAAATCCTACCTCTAAGCCTCGTTCTTAAAAAAGGGGAAAAAAAAAAAAAAGATAGTTTTACCTACTAATTACAACTTCGTGTACCCACCATCACTTTAGCTACGGAAAAGTCAAGGCCGGGTAAACTACACGTCCCACCATGCATTGCTGCCTTGTTCAGAGTAGGTCTCTACGGAAACAGAAAAAAAAAATTCTACAAGTCCCACCTGTTACTTCGTTTCTAAACACCTCTTGCACTTTCAGCTTTCAACAGCAAACAAAAACATGAGCCTCGTGACCTCACGTTGGATCTGGGAGCCCAGACGAGCGGGGGACCCGGGGTCAGGCGGCATGTCCGCTATAGCGGGTAAATTCTACCAAGATCCAGTGCTCCTCTCTTCTTTCCGGGGCTGGGTGCACGCACAAGCCTTCTCCTATCTGCATCCAATGGGGGCTCTTCAGCCGCACAAGGGAGAAGAACCGGTTACTGTGCAAGCACAACAGACTTCCCCATGCCGGGGCGGGAGCTACCACAGAGTGGAGGTGAGAGCGACGTGACCCCGAAAGGCAGCTTCAAAACACCAAGGGGACTCGTCGCAGACGCAGGGAGAAGCCACAGCCCCGCGGCGACCCTCTTCCGCTGGGCGCCTCCATTTCCATAGGGATCACAACCCCGACACTAACCGCCGCCCTCTCCGCGCGGTTTTGTGCCCCCTTCAGCCGGGTCGCTGAGCCAATGACCTCCCTTCCCCTGCGACCGGCAGGCGGCGAGGGAACAAAATTCTCCCGGGCTTCCCCTTCGCTCCCTCCCCCTTACCGTCTTGGCGGCCTCCGCCCAGGTCCTGCCCTTCTTCCTACGGCCCTTTTCCCTCATGTCGGGTCTTGAACTGACTGGGAGGCTCCCGTGTCCGGGCTCCGGCCGCCCTCCCTGCCTGCTCTGCCCTGCGATGCTTTTCCCGCGGTGCCGGGAAAGGTGGGAGAAAGGGGAAGTCAGGCCGGTGGAGCACCCAAGCAGAGGAAGCGACGGGGGTGGTGCGGGGGGGGGGGTCTATGGGGCGGCCGGTCCTCCTGCTGCCGTTGCCACTGCTACCGCCGCTGCCATATTGGGTCCTTACTGTACAGGCAGCCGCTACGGTCACGTGACCGCTCCCGCGCGACCGTCACTACTGTACGCAACCGGCCGCGCGAGCGTGCGCGCGCGCGCCCCCGCCTCCAGCGAGGGCCTGCAGGGCGAACGAGCCGGCGGTCAGCTGCGTCTCCTCCCTCCCCCGCCCTTCCGCTCTCCGCCTATCCTTTGGAGCATGCGCGGGAGGGAGGGCCGACGCTGAAGTGCGTCGGTCGTCCTGTGCTCACGCCTACAGCGAAAATCAGCCTGCGGAAGCGGAACTTAATCCCTCCCGGAAGGTTTATTGAGTGGATTCTGACCGCGTGCTGGGCGCAGCGGTGGTCTTAGAGCCTTGGAAGAGCCAGACTTCCCTCAAGGGGCGACCCTCCCAGCTGTCACTTTATTTTTTTTAAGATTTTTTATTTATTTTTTAACAGAGTGAGGGAACACGAGCAGGGAGAGTGGGAGAGGGAGAAGCAGGCTTCCCGCCGAGCAGGGATCCCGATGTGGGACTCGATCCTAGAACGCTGGGATCATGACCGGAGCCGAAGGCAGACGCTTAACGACTGAGCCACCCAGGCGCCCGAACTGTCACTATCAACAAGCCTTGTAGTTGGGTTTTTTCCTTTGTCCATGTTCATTTTTACGAAGGTTGTCTTTTTGACGATTTGCAACAGTTCTCGTCTGCTTATTAACCCATTTCGATAGATGATAGATGAGTTTGAGTGACTTGCCAAGCTCACCTGTCTAGGATGTGGAGAAACCAAGAATCAAATCGCCAGCTCAGAGCCCTTTTTCCATCTCCCACAATGCCTCTCAAACTTAGATTATCCCCCCCCCCCTTTTTAAAGGCCACCAGTAACTACATTCAGGCTTTTTCAAGTGAAGTCTCATCAAGGACCATGGTGTCTTTTATCTGGGTGACTTCAGTCACTGGCACAGTGCCTGTAAATATCAGGCACCCAGTAAATATTTGCTGAACGATTCAGCTATGTGTGTGGTCAGAAATCATTATTTGTAGTGTCCATAAAAGCCTCCTGAAGAATCCAGAATGTGGCATATTCCATAGTGTTATCCATGTTTTTATACTTTGCGAAGTAAAAAGAATATGTGTACTAACACTTCCTGTTCTCCAAAATACATCTGCTTCCAGAAGTTGCTTCTGGTCTAGTTTAGTAAACCTAGCCCTCTACTGTATTCTAAAATAGGACTGAGAGGCAATAGTTACCTTGGAGGCCATGGTTTGGTGTCAGAAGTTCATGGACCCCCTCAAATTATGAACAATCTTTTGGGTGTAATTGTGCATTTTTGAAAACAGAATTCAGGGGGCTCCTGGCTGGCTCAGTTGGTAGAGTGTGTGACTCTTGATCTTGGGTCTGACTTCCAGCCCCACACTGGGCATGTAGCCTACTTAAAATTAATTAATTACTTAGTTAAAAAAGAAGGATTCATAACTTTAATTCAATGTTTCAAAACGGGCTGTTACACACACACACAGAGAAGTCTTAATAGGGAGTTTGAGAGGCCATCTGGATCCTTATATTTTTCCTTCAGTCATTGAAGGAAATGATGCATGTCATATATTTGACATGTCATATATATGACATGCGTATATTTTCACAAATCCTTTTAGGAACTCATAAGCACTATCCGTAGCACTCAAGATATGTACCATCTCCCTCCAAACCCTACGTCTAAGGGCCCCTGGCTGACTCAATCAGTAGAGTGGTAGAACGTGCAACTCTTGAGGTCGTGAGTTTGAGCCCCAACTCAGATGTAGAGATTACTTAAAAATAAAGTCTTTGGGGATGCCTGGGTCGCTCAGTTGGTTAAGTGTCTGCCTTTGGCTCAGGTAATGATCCCAGGGTCCTGGGAATGAGTCCCACATCAGGCTTCTTGCTCAGTGGGGAGCTTGCTTCTCCCTCTGCCTGCCACTCCCCCTGCTTGTGTTCTTTCTCTCTGACAAATAAATAAAATCTTTAAAAATGAATAGAGTCTTGGGGCTTGGGGCGCCTGGGTGGCTCAGTCAAGTTGAGCGTGTGCCTTTGGCTCAGGTCATGAAGCGTTGGGCTCCCGCCTCAGCAGGAGTCTGCTTCTCCCTCTGCCCCTCACTCCACTTGTGCTCTCTCTCTCTAATAAATAAAATCTTTAAAAAAAATATCTTTATGGGATGCCTGGGTGGCTCAGTCAGTTGGGCATCTGCCTTCAGCTCAGGTCATAATCCCAGGTTCCTAGGACCGAGTCCTGCATTGGGCTCCTTGCTCAATGGAGAGCCTGCTTCTCCCTCTGCCCCTCCCTCTGCTTATGCTGCTCTCTCTGACAAATAAATAAGTAAAATCTTTTTAAAAATAAAAATAAAATAAAAAATCTTTGGGGCACCTGGGTTGTCAGTCAGTTAAGCGTCAGATTCTTGATATCAGCTCAGGTCTTGATCTCAGGGTTGTGAGTTCAAGCCCTGCACTGGGTTCCACACTGGGTGTGGAGCCTACTTTAAAAAAATAATTTTTTTTCTTTTTTAAGAAATAGAACAGTTGGCTTGACTTTCTCTCCCTCTCACTCTCCCTCTGTGCTCTTTCTGTCTTTCTCAAATAAATAAATAAAGTGTATAAAAAAAAAGTTAACCAGTGTTGGGGCACCTGACTGGCTCAGTCAGTAGAGAATTTGATTTTTGATCTCAGGGTTTTAAGTTTGAACTGAACATTGGGGGTAGAGATTATTTAAAAAATAAGATCTTGGACACCAGGCACCTGGGTGGCTCAGTTGGTTAAGCGACTGCCTTCAGCTCAAGTCATGATCCTGGAGTCCCGGGATCAGGTCCCGCATTGGGCTCCCTGCATCCGGCTCCCTGCTCGGCAGGGAGTCTGCTTCTCCCTCTGACCCTCCCCCCTCTCATGTGCTCTCTCTCTCATTCTTTCTCTCAAATAAATAAATAAAATCTTGGGGCGCCTGGGTGGCTCGGTTGGTTAAGCGACTGCCTTTGGCTCAGGTCATGATCCTGGAGTCCCGGGATCAAGTCCCACATCGGGCTCCCCGCTCAGCAGGGAGTCTGCTTCTACCTCTGACCCTCTTCCCTCTCGAGCTCTCTATCTCTCATTCTCTCTCTCTCAAATAAATAAATAAAAATCTTTAAAATTAAATAAATAAATAAATAAATAAATAAATAAATAAATAAATAAATAAATAAAATCTTAAAAAAAAAAAGATCTTGGACACCTGGGTAGCTCAGTCAGTTAAGCATCGGACTTCTGGTTTCGGCTCAGATCGTGATCTCAGGGCCATGAGATTGAGCCGCACATCAGGCTCTGCGCTCAACAGGGAGTCTTGTTGAGAATCTCTCTCTCTGCCCCTCCCCCCACCGGCACTTGCTCTCGTTCGCTCTCAAAATAAATAATTTTTTTATTTTTTTTAGATATTTATTTATTAGGGGTGCCTGGGTGGCTCAGTCATTAAGCATCTGCCTTCGGCTCAAGTCATGATCCCAGTGTCCTGGGATTGAGCCCCGCATCAGGCCTCCTGCTCAGCGGGAAGCCTGCTTCTCCTTCTCCCACTCCCCCTGCTTGTGTTCCCTCTCTCGCTATGTCTCTATCTGTCAAATAAATAAATAAAATCTTTAAAAAAATAAAAAGATATTTATTAGAGAGAGAGAGAGTGTGCATACATGAGCTGGGGGGAGGGGCAGATGGAGCAGGAGAAGCAGACTCCCCGCTGAGCAGGGAGCTTGACATGGGGCTTGATCCCAGGACCCCAGGGTCATGACCTAAGCCAAAGGCAGACACTTAACCAACTGAGCAACCCAGGTGCCTCTCAAAATAAATCTTTAAAATATATACGAATTATAGATAGATAAATAGACCTACTTTGCCACCTTACATATGTTTATGTAGATATTATATATAAACAGAAAGAAGCGCCTGGGTGGCTCAGTTGGTTAAGCAACTGCCTTCAGCTCAGGTCATGATCCTGGAGTCCCGGGATTGAGTCCCACATCGGGCTCCCTGCTCAACGGGGAGTCTGCTTCTCCCTCTGACCCTCTTCCCTCTCGTGCTCTCTATCTCTCATTCTCTCTCTCTCTCAAATAAATAAATAAAATCTTAAATAAATAAATAAATAAAATAAACAGATAGAAAATGTAGACAGTAGATATAGATAATAGATTCATAGATAGATACATAGATACAATAGATACATCTCCTTGTTGATCAGGCCAGGGTCCAAATGGGCAGTATCTGCTGAGAGCACCTATGTTGGAACATAGCTTCTATCATGATGGCCACGGGCCACATGCCAGACCCATCAGAGGTAGAGATGATCTTTTCAACATCTTTTATGAGACAGGCATTGGCAGAAATATTGCTAGAGCAATTTTGTAAAGAATCAACTCTCTTTCATGAAGCTGTTACTGGAAATCTTATCATGGTTAAGAAAGATGACACTAGTTCTTGTATATCTGTAGGAAATCATCATTGGCCAAGAAATTAGAGTGTTTGGCTTTCCACAGGATTGGATGAGGGAGGAGTCATTCTGGTTTCACTTCCTTGCTCAGATAAGCAAGAACTCAAGACTAGCAATTCTTTTTTTGTTGTTGTTGTTTTGTTTTTTTTAAGATTTTATTTATTTATTTGAGAGAGAGCGAGAGAATGAGAGATAGAGAGCACGAGAGGGAAGAGGGTCAGAGGGAGAAGCAGACTCCCCGCCGAGCAGGGAGCCCGATGCGGGACTCGATCCCGGGACTCCAGGATCATGACCTGAGCTGAAGGCAGTCGCTTAAC